ATATATATGTTTATAAAATATATACTCGAAATATTGGCGTATATTAATTTTAATGAAATGTCAACAGAATGAAACACTAGAAACCCAATGCACGTAAAAGATCTAAACAAAAAGTATGTAAGATGAAGATATTGAGATGGGAGCTAATCATGATGATAACGATGATGATGATACATATTGTAAAACGATAAATAAATATGCAAATGAATAAGAGCATACGAGAAAAAGAGAAAGAAAGAAAAAAAAAAAAAGCAAAACAAATAAAAACTTATATAAAGAATACGAAATGAAACAAAAAATTATATTTATTTAAAAGTACGCGTATTGAAAAGCAAACAGATATTAATATTAAATAAAACGACAAACAAAGTTAAACACAAATCGTTGCCGACGTTTAATTTATAGTCACATTTATTGCATTGTATGTATCTACATATGTATGTATGTATGTTAACTAGCAACTGACAATGGAATGTGCGAAGACAACTTGGGGCAATCCTGCTTACGATCTAGAATATGTATATAGATAGGCCTATGCGAATACTTATGTACACACAACTACACCACAATCAAAATTAGACTTTACAATTTCATTATTAAGTACATGGCAAGTGGCTCGAGCGCGTCTTAAAACATGTCGAGCTTCAGCTCTAAGTCTACGTCGTAGTTGTCCAGTGCGGTTTTGTTGACGAACCCGAAGTTCCACTGCATTAAGCGGTTCTTCTCATTGCAAGCGTTGACTACTAGCTCCTCTGTGTCCGGCAGGAGCTCCATGCACCGCTTGCCCTCTTTGCCGTGCTTGATCAGCTTGGTGCGGTAGTCGTAGTACCAGTACTGATTGCCTTGCTGCCCGTGGCAGTCCCACAGCCAAACGGGCGCGTTGGCATCCCATATCTGGACGTCGAGGCAGTCCTTCTTGCGGTGCAGCCGCAAGTCCCGCTTCCAGCTGAGCGACCAGTACTGCGTGCGCTGTGGCTTCACCAGATTTCGGGCGCACGAGTATATGCCTACCCGATTGTGGCGTGGCTTGCTAAGCGTATCCACGCACAACGTGGGGTCGCCCACATTCTGGATGGCGCCACTGGCGTAGTCGGGCGGGTCGATGGGCGGATAGTTCTTTATCAAGTCAAAGGCCACATTCTCCATGAACCACTTGAACGATTTGCACTTGAGCTTCGTCCGTATGGCCTTTTGTGCCGTTAGATCACCTGCGTCTATACGCTCGTAGATGCCATCTGCGCCGTTGTACAAGTACTGCTTGTATTCGTCCATCCAGACCTCGGCCACGCGCTTGTAGTTCTATTTATGGAACATCATATCTTATAGACTGCAACTGGTAGCTGATAAGAGTTATTCAATTACTCACTTTGTGCAAATAGTCGCCTCCGCGTGGATTCGACACGTGATTGCGTGGGCCGCGATATATGTGGCCTATTCGGGAGCAGGGCGCATCGTACATCTGCCCACCACACATCCAGATTTTGAAGCTCAGCTCGTACTGCTCACCGCCCCAAATGTCCAGTCCCTCATCGTAGCCCCCCAGCTCCCAGAAGAACTCGGCGGAAATGGCAAAGAGGCCGCCCGCCATGACAGGACTCTTGAACGGCTCCGCTGGATGTTTCAGATCCTCGGGGAGCAGCGGCAGACGTTTGTAGAAAAAGTCCCAGTCGAAGGCGCCACGCGCGCCTTCATCTTGGGCTCGGTAGTTAAAATTACTGTGGTCAATCACGTCAATGAAGGGGCAGACGGCGGTGCGCTTGTTTTGAGCAATTGGCTCCAGCAATGGTGGAAGCCAATTGTAGTTGGCCTCGACGTGCGAGTCCAGGAATATGAGCACTTCGGCAGTGGCGTTCCGGGCACCCGCAGAGCGCGCACCGATCAAGCCCGTCCGTCGTGGCAGCCGCACGATGCGCACTTTGGTAAAATGCTGGGCAATGTAATCCTCCAGCGGCTTGAAGAGATAGTCACGGTCGCTGAAGTCGTCCACGAGGATGATCTCCTTGAGCAGCTCCGGTGGCGATCGGTTGATTAGACTGTGCACGGACCGCATGAGCACAGACATATATTCATTGTAAAAGATGATGATTACGGACACCGTAGGAAGCTTGCTGAGATACAACTTCTTGCGGCAGCTGTTAGCGAAGAGAAGGGCGAGTTAGAAACGAGAGCAAAAGGTGAATCAAACACTGAATTGGTACCCACTCCTTATGCCGTATGTCAGGAACGGAGCGATTCACAGATATGGAGTCGGAGAGCAGCGCGTTGAAGCCGTTCTCGAGCGAGAGGGTCCTCTCATATTCCCGCTGACTCTCGTCTTCCAGCTTCGCCGCCACGCCCTGCTCGCCGATGCCAACGCGCTTTCTGTCACGCTCTATTGCCGTGTAATCATGCCAGTCTCTCTTGATCAGATTGTCGTCGGGTGCTGCCACCTGAAGGTCGCCGTTTTCTTTTGCTTTGTGCTTTGCATCGACTTCCTCGAGATTGGACTGGTCTGCCTCATCCTCTGCATCGTCCCCCTTTTCAAGCTCCGCCACTAATTCGTCCTTCGGCTCAATGATTTTCTTTTTATGATTTGGCTCAGGCAATTGGACATCTCTCGCTGCTTCCAGACGTTCCTCGGCGACCCTTGCTCCTGGCTTCAAGGGCTCCGGTTGGATGCCATGATGTATCGGCTTATTCGTGTACGGCGTAGACGAAATCCAGCTCGTGATGAGCAGGAAGAGCATCAGCGAGAGCAACGCCAAAAACGACGACTTGATAATCCATTTGATATTCGGCCGACGCATTCTGCTAGAAGATTATGTTTTTTCCTTCACTACGGATGGATACGTGGCTGGCTACGCTGCCTGCGATCCACTGCTGGAACTGATGCTAACACGGAAACTCATGGGCAAGGCGAACTGAAGAATGTTCTGTGTGTTAGCTCAGCTGTTGTTTTTGTTGGTTCCGCACGCTCGGTTTTGACTACCAGCTGAAAGATTAGAGCAACGAAAGAACACGTAGAATAAAATGCTACATACATACATACGAAATATGAGCACAGTGTGGAATAGATAAAAATAAATATTGGTTTATTTTTGTCTGCAGAACAGCACAAGAAAGCCGAATTTTAGCACAAATTTAGCTCATTCGAAACAGGTTTATTAAAACACGGAATTTTCATTAGCTTTAACGTTCTACGCGGTTTATCATAAATGTATATACAGTTTTTATGCTTCGACAGCGACTATGAGCCATGGGACTGGCCTTCTAGCCCAAGCTCTACTTCATAACATGTCAAGAACACATCTGTGAAGGTCTCTGATGCAAACCCAATAACGTGAGGCACATCAAATATTACTTATATTAGGAGTAGTATATTTCTAGTACAACTAATACTATTAGAATGTTCCACTTTTACGCCTACCTTAAATTCTCCTGCTTCTAGTTCCTCCTTAAGACTAGTAGTTCTGCTACTATTTCAAATGCTACAACTAATTCAATATTACTACTATTACTGTAACTAATTGAATCTCCTACTGCTTCTGTAACACTATTATTAATGCCACTACTACAATTACTTGAAGTTCTAGCACTACTACTCCACATACACAATGCACATCATATAGGCATAGTTAAAAACCCTACTAGACTTACAGAATCTTTTATTCAGCCTACTTCTGTTCACTGCGAATGTTATAGAGAACTGAGAAGACGGCACCGCTCGAGGTTCTCGAAATATGCCCGACGCTCATGCACTCATGTGTGTGTGTGTGGGTGGGTTCTACTATGATGCGAGACAATTACACAAAAAGCAAAAGCAAACAAAACATTTCACTGATAAGCGGCAACAACGACKCGTCGTCGCGACGTCGACAACGACAACGACAACGTTGACATTTTTGACTGACAGTCGAAAATAGTTGCTTAGTTAAGATAAGTTCCAAATGGCAGGCCACTTCCGTTATTTTAAAGTGAAAGTAATTGAAGGCACGTAGATAAAATGCACCAAATTGCCCAACGTTTGAATGAATTTAACAAGAGAATTTTGTTTACTTTTTCCGTTTGTTTTGCTTTGTTTTTTGTTGTTTGTCAAATGATAAGTTTTTCTGTTACCTGTCAACTTTCGCCATTGGGAGAATGCCACTGATTGTTGATTTTTTATTAAAAAGCCCAAGTTCAAGTTGGCTACCAATTTATACAACAGATTCCTTCCACGTCCACTAAATATGTATGTCTTCTTCTATTTGCACCAACAATTGCTGCTGCTTCTTGAATGCGAGCTGTTCTTTTGCTATTCACCACGACGCGCTGCCACCCAAATCAGCTGCCGCATGCTCGCGAATCGCGATTCACCGGCAACAACAATCAACAATCAACTATACTAAATGTTTTCGATTACTATTTTGTTTATTCTTGTAAAGCGTGGTACACCTTGCTACAGTAATTTAATAATTGTGGTTTGGTGCTTACTAATTAGCTATTTTCAACATTTTCAGCACTTCCTCCTTATATTTGGCTATGTTGTACTCATTTTCGCCCTCGTTTATCAGCTTCTCCACGCTGTCAGCATAGGTAGCACTGGGTGCTTGCTTTTCTCCAGTTGCATTCCAATTGAGAATTGCTTCAGCCGAAAGCTTTGCCTTATTCCGTTCAAAGAGATAGACCTCCATGTCGGCCTCTGACTTGCTAGCTTCCCATGGCTCCGTAATGAATGACTCGTGGTAACATGCCGTCAGCAAGTACAAAGCGTAGTCGTAATTCTGTTTGCGCGTCGGACAGCGATCAGCGACAAACGTTAGTACTCCAGTCTCTTGGTTGTACCGATCGCCCACGAGACGTAGAAATTTGTCCTTAGCATGAGCATCGAACTTTAAGTCCGATAGTTTCAGCGTAATTGTGACACGACGAGCCTCAGGATGCCGTATTGTCGGCAGACTGTGGCAATAGTCCGTAGTGACGACTTCTACGGGAAAGACAGCCTTCCAGGTGGCTTCTGATTCTAGGCCCTTCGGCCACGGGGTACAAAACTTTTTAATTGCCTCGCATTGCTGCCGAATGGCCGGTGGCGTCAAATGCAAGAAATTTGGTATTTTCATTAGCTCCGCATTCGCGTATTTTGAGGGAGCAGCTGCTCCTCGCTCCGTGTAGCCTTGGCGCAAAGGCAGCGGCACGCTGGCAGGGTGAAAAGAACGGGGGCCCGACCAGACAGCTGTCCAATCTTGATCTACAGGCATATGCGTTGTCCGCGGAGGCGGTACCACCTCCTTCTTTATTACCCGCCTGCGTGCCTGTTGTTTGACAGTACGTAGATTGAGCACCCGGAATTCTGCAAGCACAAGTAAGTTCATTCATATGATTGTTTACCATTTATTCGGCTTACCCTCATCGTCTTCCACCGAATGCTCCGATTGCTGCTGCTGGCTGCTGAATACCCGCAGAGTGCGTTGAGCTACGCCGGCATTGTTGCTTCGTAGGCTACTCTCGAGCAATCGCACTAAATTAGTTGCCATGGTTATTTTAAGTTTTTTCAATATAATAAGAACCAGCCAATTGCCAGTTTTTATAGAAAACTTAAGAAATAAAGTTTACGTAAACCATGCGACTGCGAGCCGACATTCACCACAATAGCCAACACATCAGCTGTTTTGGTATCGATACCAAGTACATACGAGGTGTAATGAGAGAGTATATAGGAAACAAGAGTGGGGAATGGGCAAATATACATATATGCAATTAACAGTTTGATTGTAGCCCAAGGTCAAATGCTTCCCAACCGTTTAGTAATATGAGACAAATATAAACACCAAAGAGCTTGGTAGTATTGTTTTACTGCTATCGCATCGCATATTCCTCATTGGCCATTACAGTCTATCACTTATCAACGCATTAATGCTGCTGCCTGATGATAAGCCAAGCAACAGTCGCTTGTATCTCGCGACTCTGTGAGCAAGCAAATAAATCAGTTTGGTTTAGTTGCTTATTAGACGACTAGCCGGTTATAGTAGCGCCGTTATTGCACTGATATTTGAGTTCTTACAGAGTAAAAGTCTCACAATCACAAAATGACTACGACAGGTGTCAAACGGGTGCTCTCCATTCAAAGTCACGTAGTGCACGGCTATGTGGGCAATAAGGTGGCTACCTTTCCCCTCCAGGTGGGTGACGCATACACTGTTAAATCTATAGTATATTTGCATATTCATTTTGCCTACTTTAGCTTCTCGGCTTCGATGTAGATCCGCTGAATTCCGTTCAGTTCTCGAATCACACGGGCTATAATTGCTTCAAGGGTCCAATATCCACTGAAAAAGAATTGGGTCAGTAGTTGTTTACAAACATTAATAATGCAGTCTTATTTCAACAATTTGCTTGCTGTGTAGCGAACATATTCGAGGGTCTGGAGGAGAATAAGTTGCTGGGTCACTATTCCCATTTACTGACGGGCTACATTGGCAATCCCTTGTTTCTGCGTCAAGTTGGAGAGATTCTTCGAAGGATCCGCATAGCAAATCCCGATCTGATCTATGTATGTGATCCCGTCATGGGCGACAATGGCAGCATGTACGTGCCCAAAGAGCTGCTGCCCGTGTATCGGGATGAGATCATTCCCTTGGCTGACATCGTGACGCCCAACCAGTACGAAGTCGAGCTGCTCACTGGCAAGGAGGTTCGCAGCGAGGCGGCTGTGTGGGAGGCGATGGATTGGTTCCATGAGCGCAAAATAAAGACGGTTGTCATCTCCAGTAGCGACTTGGGTCAGCCGGGCATTCTGCGCGCCTTCCTGAGCCAGATAAATGGGCCACGGCTGGCTATCGATATACCCAAGCAAGGCGACAAGGATCTGTTTTTCACTGGCACCGGTGATCTCTTTGCCTCGCTCTTTCTGGCTCACAGCCATGCCAGCGGCGATGTCACCGAAGCGTTCGAAAAGACCATTGCCACCCTGCAGGCCGTGATCAGGCGCACAGTCGAGCAGATGCCCAGGCAACGGTCCAGTGGATCTGTTCAGGCCTGGGAGCGAGAGCTAAAACTCATTCAAAGCAAATCAGAGATCGAACACCCGAAGGTGGTGCTCAAAGCCCAACGCCTCAACTAGAGCAGCACAGTGCGCACTCAACCAAACGGACAATACAATGAACAATACTTATCTAATCCAAATATACATACCAGAATAATAATGCCCTTACAGCCGACTCAACAAGTTTTTTATTGTGCATACTTGATAGATGCCACGTTTGTTTACTCTGGTGACATCTCAAAAGAATCACTGAACTACGACACGAGCAGTGCTCGTGCTCCACTATAAATACTAGATATGGCTCTCAAGTAGTCAAACAGTTGACGTCATGCAGTTGCTCATTCTCCTTGCAGTCTGCTGCGCCGTGGCCTGCGCCAGCAATGCACACGATGCAACGGACAAAGCCTATTCACCACGCTACACTCTGTTGGCCGAGAGCAAGCGAAAGGATCAAGACATGGGACCTGCTCCAACTGATGTAGCTGCCAGTGAGCAGCAGCCTTGGCGGCGCTTGGCCTATGCCGGCTTTGGCGGTCAGCCAAGTAATTGGCTAGGCTCTAGTACGGGCGGAGCACTCGCGGCGCCAATTGGACCGGGTCTCATGCTGCTGGGTCTTAATCTAGGCGCTCTTCTCTGCATGCTGCTGGGATTACTAGGTCTGGGTCCATCTTACCGAGTTGGCCCATGGCACGCAGGCGATATTTACCGGAGCGATAGACACAATTTAGGTGGGGACAAGGAATCGACATTGTATTTCTAAACTTGAAGCCTTTCTCACAGGTTTACGTACAGCTTATAAAAAAATTGATTTAAATTTACATAATATATATTATAGTGATTATTTAGGGTTTTTACAGAACTAAAAGCAGTAAATTAAAATCGTTGAACTTGCGTAAAGAAACCGAAATTGAAAATAAACGCTTAACACAGTGCAATTAAGATCAATTATTTCTTTACGCGAAACGAGGCAGCCCGATTTATTCTTACCACCGGCGCCTCCTTGACGCCCGAGCCAATGGTGCCGGCCAGACGAGAAATGGGTTTGCGCGCCGTCGTCGAGGAGCCGGCGAGAGCTGTATCAAACATAATAGAGAATATTTATTAAGTCAAATTCTAGATCTATTTTTGGATTTCTGACTCACTCTTTGCAATCAGCGCACGCGGACTTTTCCGCACGCAGTTCGATGGGAACTTTAAATTCTCTTTCTGTATCGCAGCCGCGCATGTGCGCTGCAATCCTTGAGTTGTAAACTTGTTAGACTTGAGCAGAGCTGAAAGAAGGAGCAGAAGGGTAGGATAAGATTGCAGCCCTATTTTCACTTGGATCCGAAGCTAACCTTGTTTCACTTTGTCCCTGTCTGCAGATCCGCAGACATTTTGATCCGACAGCAAATCCGACACCATGCGTTGGTTGACCAAGGGTCGAGACTTGGTGACAGTCGCCGTCAAAGCCTTGCGGGAGTTCATGTTGCCGGAAATGACTTGAGTGACGTCTAGATTGCGTGGCTTCTTAAAGGCCTGCTGCCCGTCCTCTCCACTGTCCGTGTCGGAGTCCGTATCTTCAAAGCTGTCCACGCCCAGGTGAAGAACAAACTCGCTATTGGTTAGCGTGTGCGTGTAGCGCCGGTCGCGACTGCGCTTCTTGGCGCTGTTGGTCATTGCTGATGGTGACTCATTCTCCTGCTGCTGCTCGGCGAGAAGCGCATCAAGCTCCAAGTCGTGCGCCGACAACTCTGTTTCGGATGCTGTGAAATGCATCCTTCGCTCAAGTCGTTCGTATACACCTTGTATTTCTGGCGTCAGTTTCTGTGTCTCCTCCAAACGGTTGTACAGCTGATGCAGGACATCGCACATCATGGATATGGATTTGCGTAGAAGGCTCGCATTTTCGGCTTGTTCATTGTTAATACTGGTTAAATGACTGCAGTTTATCTGCTGCTTGGAGAGTTGCACCTCCAGATCTTTGTTGCTTAGGTAAATGCTCAAGATTTGGTGATATTTCGACTCCTTCACCTCGACCTTCAGCCTTTTCAGATTTAAGCAAGCCATCTCGAGTTTGCTGCGCCAATGAGGCAGCTCATCAGTATATTTTTGATTTCTAGCGTTTAGTGCCGTCATGTAGTCTGTGAATAATTTAAAGTCCTGCAAAATAATATAAATAAAATATAATTATAATAAAAATAAATAAAAAGGTTGCTCAATAATTGAAAAAATAATTCAAAATAAATAAAAATTTAACAATTATTTAAATACGCTCTCAATGTTAACCGACCATAAATTAGTTTTAAAAAAATAAACAAATACATATGTACATATATACTAATTATAATGACCATAACATAAAATAAATAGGAAAAAACTAAGATTAATCAACTCTCTTAATAATTGGTACAAAAAATTGTATATAGTAAATAATTAATATAAGAAAATCAATTTCAAATCGAACTATGGGACATTTATCTAAAGCGTTAGAAATTAGAAAACAAGACAGACCAGCATTTTTTACCAGCATACATTGCTTTTTTAAATTACGTTGGCAGCACCGCCAGCGGAGTGAATTGAGCTTTAAGCAAGTTGGCAGCTTTGCATGGTATTTAATGTGCAAATCGCAATATTGTAAATAATAAAAAATGCTCGCCAAGACGGGACTGCATTTACGGGCGTTAACCGTTAGGTTAACACCGATTCGTCAGGCAACAGGCGCTTTTACACATCTGCAGCAACAGCGGCAGCAGATCCAGCCGTTAGCAGGAAACGGCGCGGCATCTGTGTTGGGGCTGCAGCAGGCGCGCAGTTATGCAAAAGGCAAGGACAGGAAGAAGGAAAAGGGCGGCAAGGGTAAACCTGCCAAGGTTGAGATAAATGAGCAACAGCTGCGTGAACTGATCAACCTGGATAGCCTGAATGCCCAGATGGAAAAGTCTGTCCTGCAAATGAAGGAGGATTTCATTAAGAATCTGTCACTGCGCTCCACGAGCGGCGCCATCGACACGCTACGCATCAAAGTAGACGGCGCCGAGCACGAGCTGCAGGAGCTGGCCCAGATATCGCGCAAGAATCCAAAGACTATAATAGTCAACATGATTGCGTTCCCACAGACCATACCAGACGTGCTGCGCGCCATTGAGAAGAGCGGCATGAATCTGAATCCGCAGCAAGACGGCACCACTCTCTTCATACCCATACCCAAGGTGACCAAGGAGCATCGCGAGCTGCTGTCCAAGAATGCGAAAGCGTTGTTCATCAAGTACCGCGACGCCATACGGGACATACAGAACGCACAAATCCGCAAGCTCAAGAAGCAAACAGACGTTGCCAAAGACGACGTGTTTGCGGCCCAAGCCCAGGTCACGGCCATTGCGGACAAATACATTGCAGAGGCGGACAAGCTGCTCGTCAGCAAGCAGAAGGAGTTAACTGGGGAGACCTGATGCCCCTAGACTGATATTGGATTTAACTAGAATATTATTGAGCCCACACTACAAATGTTACTGCCTATTGAAACGTAAGCTAAGCTTATCAGAAATACAGCGAGTCTTAAGCGTTAAATAGTAGAAGATAAGCCATGAGAATTGTAGTCGATCTTTAATAATACGCACCTCTTGTATCAGCCGTTGATCCTGCGTCACAGCTTTCCTCAGCTGCTCAAAGTCCTTCTTCAGTGTTTGTCGATAGCTGAGGGTCTGAATCTTGCTTCTGAGGCCAATGACGCACTGCTGCAGCTTGATCACAGAAGTGTATACAGCATCGATGCGGCTGTACCAAGGCTTGAGCTCCTGCATGTCGAATCCTCCGAAACTGCTACTGCTGCTGGCGGAGCGCTCCAGCTGTGCCACTTTGGCCTCCAGACCTTTATTGTGCTGCAGCAAACGTTCCTGCTCGGCCATCAGCTCGGTGACCTTCTTCACATAGAACTCCTTGGGCAGATTCGATTTGAGCACGTTCTGGCGCAGCACGGAACGTATCTTCTTGGCGCGACTGGCGTACTTTAGGGTGTTGTAGGTGTCTTCATAGGTGAGCGAACTCATGGACACATTAGCTATCATCAGAGTACGGCAATTGCCGCCGAGGGAGTCCTTTAGGATCCTAGTCAAGTTTGAGTCCCGATAGGGTATGTGCTTCAGCCCATCGGCCAGCTTATTGATGCAATTTCCCAGCGCCAAGAGGCTCTTGTTGATACTGGCGCCCTCCTTGAAACGCATACCAAGGCCCTTGGTGCTAGCAGCTCGTTCACTGCCTGCCAAGTCAATCATGGAAAGCTTCACACTGCGCTTGGTGCCAGTATTTAATTCCGTGATGCGTATGTGAACCTGAAAAATGGCGTGCGACCGCGAACTCTCTGCGTTGGCATCTGTCGGATGTTGGGTGCGGTTTGCGTTTCCTATAGTGAGCATGTGCAGCAGCTCCTCTGCGCTGTAAATGGGCTTCAGTACTAATCCACTTACGACCACGCCATTTGCGTCCTCGCGCAGTTTTAAGGGACCTGTTTTTGTGAGCAGGTTCATAACCTGCTCGTTATACACTTCCAGATAGCTGACGCCTACGTCGAATTTGCGAGTAGCGTTTTGACTCTGTATTTTTTCAAAGAGATCGCGCATGGTTAGGAACGTGAGCCCAGGGCAGTTCTCACAGCCCAACATTGTGAACGTCTTTCCCGCACCCGTCGCGCCATAGACAAACACCGAGCAATTGTACCTGCGATGTACACATGTTGCCATTCAAATTCAAAGTTCAGATGCAGGTGCACTTCTACACTTACCCATCGAGCACTGCATCGACCAGCGGCGCTGTACACTCCTGGAACAAGTTTTCGTTTGTGTGATCCGTATCATAGACACGATCGAATTCCATGGTTAGTTTTTTGTTTGTGCGCTTTGAGATGTCTCTGTACTGCTGCTTGGCACCTTGGTAAAAGAATTCATCGTCCTCCTCATCTGGGTCGAACAACAATGAAGATCCGTCCATCACTTTTATTATGCATCTTTGATTCTGTTCCTTTTCCCGCTGATTGTATGGGCGCACTCGCACTATTACTTTAATATTTGTTGGTTCAGGCATGTTTTAAACTATTCGGTTACACTTTTTGCTTATTGTTTCTCTTTGTATTTGTATTTAATTTTTGATTTGGTACAGCCTGAATTGGACGTTTTTTTGATTTGTTTGAATTTTGCTTTGAGGCGTCTTTCTCTCTTTCCGAGTTGAATTGAGCTGTATTTAGAGGGTTGCTTTGCATTCGATAAATTGATCATCGATAGATATATTTTGCGCGAGTGTTGTCACTTTGATGCTCATGAAGCGAGCATTTATTTTCATTTTATCTTTGTGGTGACACTGTTTGCGTCGTTTTCTTAAGCGCATATTAAAAATAATTTGTACAAAAAGAAAGAAAAACTAGCACAAAGAAAAATAAAACACAAATATAAAAATGAGTTCAAAAGTATTATTCGCATGCTCCAAATGCTTTTCGCGGCACCCATACGAAGAATTATCCTCGGGCCAGCAGCTATGCAAGGTGAACATCAAAAAATATCAAGTTAAAATTTTTAAAGGCAAATTGCAACAAACAAACAGCTTTTCGAATGTGTGTGTACGCATTGTGGCAAAAGCATAGCATGTGTACGTGGGCCATTGTTTTTGGCACTAACAAAATAAAAATGACGCTTGCTTGCTTGCGAAAATTCTTGCTGCGCATTAAAAGTGAAAATGAACAGCAAGAGGAAGCAGAACTGCTTGCTGCGCTTGCTTTGACCCTGTATCATCGGCATCAGCAGCGATGGCGGCGACACCTGTGACAGATAAAATTCGAAGTTAGAAAGGCTGTAGTGTGTCCGGCTCCTGCTACAAGCTGACATTATTTGCAAACGAAATCGACTCGTCGCCCCACTACTTGCAATTCATGTAATTTACGATGATCCTTAAATTTTCGCAGGTATGCCGTGGTTCTACCTCAGTCGTTAAATGTACTTACTGCCGCTCGGAATTCCCCTCCGCCTCGTAAGTAGAATCGATTCACCCATGCTGCATGTCTCTGCTATTTGTTTTTGTTTGTTTTTACAGCAAATCACAGAGTGCCTGTAAAAAATGCGAACACTATCTGAATAAATACGGCAAGCCCAGTGCCTGCGAGTGCTGCAAAATCGTCGCTGCCTTTGGCAGCTCCAAATGCATGAGGTATGTTGACATTAAATTGCATGTAGTAAGCTGATGCCTAGTCTCAAATAAAAGAGTAAAAAATGAAGTATTTTCACGAGCAACGTGGCAGCCGCTGTAATTTGAATGCACAATATATAGAATGCAAATGCTCGTATCAAATTCAAGTTGATAATCACATACAACCCACGTTACGAAGAGTATGAATATACATTCAGTATAAAACATGTTTATATTGATATATATCGCCCACTTCTACCCAACTAATTGTGCCTTCAAAGTACATTAACTAATGCGCGTTTGCCCTGCCTTAGAGTCTATATTTTGTCTTCAAGTAGCAAATCGAACAAATTAGAAACGAAAACGTCTCTTATGAACGCAAAACATTTTTCTCTCTTCTCTTTTCTGCTCCACGTGTGTGTGCCAAACAAAATGATATACACTTTAACCAAACCAAATATCAAACTAACTGCAAACTGCAAACTGCAAATAGATGCGCCAGCTACGAGGCAAAGTACGGACCCCCGACACAGTGCGACGAGTGCAAGCTGCGATCAGCCTTTGACAGGCGCGACGAGAACAAAAAGGTCAGCGAGAAAAACAGAGCTCAGCAGAGCCAACATCAAGGATTGCTTATATTTTAGTCTTACCTTGTTAAACACAAATTGAAAGAAAAAATTTTAATTTTAAGTCGACTCGATGTATGTTGCTCTACTAAGCATGTTCCATTGTACAGATACAACTAGATGCACCTGTCGTGTGGCAGTCATGAGAGCCTAGTGATATTGTATTGCGTTCATAGGAGTGTGTAGGGCTAAATATTTAAGTTAGCATAATTGTGTTTAATATTAAAAAACGTGCAATTGTTTGCCTCATTGCAGGTCAATGGCAAAGTCCTCTGCTGGCTATGTACCTGCGCCTACAAACGCGCTCTGTTGAAGGCCCAGCAAGAGGGACGAATATCCATGTCCAAAAAGCGGCCACACGAGAAGTCCTCATCGACGGCGCACAGAGAGAGCCACGCATCTGCCAAGAAGGCAACACGCGGCGGCGACATTTCCAAAGGAGCTGGCAACGTGAATTCCAGTGGTGTGACATCAGTCAGCGGCGCAGGCCTGGATCTGCCCGACAAGATATCGCGCGGCAATGGCGGCAATGGTACAATCGCCGCACCAGCTGCGATCACAGTAGACACAAACTCATCGGATCACGTGGTGGCCATTACATATCTAAAGGAGCGCATCGCCAGTCTGGAGAAGCGCTTGAATCAAAAGGACAAAGAACTGCTCGAGAAGGACAAGCAGGTGAGTGACGATCATCATTAAAATACTTGATTTCAGCTTTTTAATTGCCGAATTTATCTACAATTTTCAGCTGACAGAGCTGAAGGGCAAGAACTTCGAGAAGGAAAACGAGATGCGCAACAGACTGAAAGAGGTCGAGCGACTGCATGACATGAAAGTAGATAACTTGAATCGCAAAGTAGCTAGCCTTTTGAAAGAAATAGCCGTCATGAAGAAGAACACCAACAAGAAGAGCGGCGGCGGCGGCGGCGGCGCCAAGGCTGAAAAGGAAGCAGTGAAACGTGAGAATTTGTCTCCCAAAGAAGAGATTGTCGCTGCCGCGCCCGAGAAGCAGAGCAAGCGCGAACCAGAGCGTGATCTGGACAAGGATGAGAAGAGTCTCGACCGCGATGAGGAGCGCAGTGACCAGGAGCGTGGCAGCGTGCATTCACGCTCCGCCTCCAGCAGTCCCTCTTCGAACTGAACGCACAGTTAACCCAACGAGCATCATTCACACACACTGTCGCAATCACTCTGCATTGCCGTGTCTTTGTTGTAATGATTTTTAGTTTGTCGCTATACACATTTAGACTATTACGCATATAATTTTAATTGTAACATAATTATTACAATATTGTTTCCTACCATTTTTATGTCTACACATTTCCCCACTCAAATTGTTCTCTTTCATCTATTCTATTCTTGTTCTGCTTTCCTCCATGGGAATCACCGATTAGAAAATGTAATTATATAGGCTCAACTTACAAAATTTTTAGTTTAATTTGCCAGATGAAACAAAACTCGAAGAAGAATCCATTGTTTACAAACTTAACGAAATATATACAAATTGGGGACGAGAAAGCTACTCAAAATACTCTTTTATTTGACTCTCTCGACATACGATAACGATAATAAACAACGTTCGACTAATGTGGTTTCGGCTTGTGCCCATCCACGTAGAAATTACGTGTTGCCTTGGGCAGCTCCAGTTCCATGCCCTCCATGCTCTTTTCGAGTACTATTTGACAGCCGAGGCGGGAGTTCTCTCGCAGAAAGGGCGCCATGTCCAGCAGGTCATCTTCCTTTTCGTCTGCCTCGTTCAGCTTTTCGAGATAGTCGTTTTTCACATACACATGGCACGTTGTGCAGGCTAGAGACGCCTCACAGGCGCCCTCCATCTCAATGCCGTGCCGGTGCGCCAGATAGAGAACGTTGTCGCCCACCTTTCCCTGAACCTTGGTGCGTTTGCCGTCCTTGTCAACGTATGTTATGTTGACGCTACAGCAGGCAAAATATTACTGCAACATAAATACAAGCATTCCCGTTGCCAATTACTTACATTTCGTCCGGCGACTTGGGATCTTTCCATTCATATTCGCCGTGTCGTAGCACTGCAAGCAAATCGAGACAAATATAATTTCATAATCTGCTCAAACTATTACCAATAGCAGCTGTTATCAATGCTGAGACGAACCACTTACGTCTTGTTGTATGCAATGCATTGCTGACTGTATAAACGTGTGAATTTAAAACTTGCTTAAAAACTAATTTACGGAAATTACGCGTTTGGCGCAAAAGTAAACAAAACATTTTGTAGGTTACGAATTACATATGTATAGCTGTGGTCACCCAAGAATTTTAACTATTATTGACAGTTTTTACCACCATTTTTAAGCTCTTACAAAGGTAGAAAGTAAGTTGATTTATGGCGTTTAATACAAAAGCACGGATTCAATTAACAAATTTGGCTAGACAATAACTGGCTAGATTAAGAAACTTCCAACATTTAATAGCTCATAACAAATCAGCTGTTCCTTAACATAACTCAGGTGTTCTGTATTTGAAGTCAGCATGCCGGGACACTTAGTTCCTCCATAAAGCGACAATTTCTTCGTCTATAAACCCAGTTTAAGTATAGGGACTTTAGCAATAGATATGGTAGGTATGAGGATTCGACAGCTGCTGTTGGAAACAATTTGTATTTGTTTATTTATATATAAATTAAAGTATTTAAGGAAAAAAAAATGTATAGCAGTGTCAAATGAGTAACAGAATATAATAGTTCTTATCTATCGATAATGATGTATATCGAATATATGACAATCTTAGATATTTCAAACGATTGAAAATTGAGCGAGGTGTGCAAATTGCAGTGATGAGAACTTAATAATTGTTTTAAGTGTTAATACTTTTGTGCATTAATTATAATATCCTAAGATTAATACTGAAAATGAATTATATGTTAATAATTTTGAGATGAGCTGAATTTGAAATTGTATTAATTTATTAATTTATAGATATGGGTGATGTGTGCTGATATTTGCGCAACTTACTTACTCGCGGCGACTGTTAAAAAAGATTATCACTCAATCGTGATTTGCAACTTGTGACTCTGTAAGTGTAAGTGTGAAGTGCTCATCTCTAACGTGAACGTGGAAGAGACTGGAATGAAAAACACACGTCAAAATTCTGAACACTAGGCCAAAAACAAAAATAAAAAAGTTTTTAAATGCACTTGATCTAAATTTCAAGAGTTTTCTGTAAGCTTCGTACAACAACTAATCCACGTTCAGCTTTAACTGCCAAAAAGCATAACTGCTGACTGTAATTGCAGAGCAATAAAACATCAGGCGCAGGCACAGGCGAAGCCAGCCACGAAAACAATTTACAATCCATAATAAAGTAATAAGGTAAATTGGTGCAGCGTAGCCACGAATAATACCATGTCAAACAATGCAGTGGGACCCACGAAACAGGAAATCGAGGCCGTATTCAGTCGCCTGCGGGCGCTACCAGCTAATAAGGTAGGATTTGGTTTCAGTGTAATGTTCAGACATTGATTTTAATATTTCATCGCTTTTGTTTTCCATACAGTCATGCTTCGATTGTGCCACGAAGGCACCTACATGGTCCTCTGTCACGTACGGCATTTTCATATGCATCGACTGCTCCGCTGTGCATCGCAATCTCGGCGTGCACTTGACCTTTGTGCGGAGCACCAACCTGGACACCAACTGGACGTGGTTGCAACTGCGGCAAATGCAGCTGGGTGGCAATGCGAACGCTGCTCAATTTTTCCGCGCCCACAACTGCACCAGCAGTGACGCCCAAATTAAATACAACTCGAGGGCGGCCCAGCTCTACCGGGACAAGCTGGCGGCACTTGCTCAGCAGGCGATGAAGGTGCACGGCACCAAGGTAAGCAGCTCGTTGCCCTCTTTTCGTTCGCCTTTTTGCTTTATTTACTTTGTTTACTCTTTGAGCTTGACTTTTTTAAACACTGAATCCGACTAACACTTGGTTTGCTCTCGCTTGCGCTTTACTTGTATGTATTTTGTTCTCTGTTCCCGCACATTCACATAAACACACGTACAGCTACACTTGGACCCTGCAGCGGATAAGAACGAGGGCAACGAGGCCGGCAGRGAGGACCAGGAGGAGGAGGACTTCTTTGCCCAATGCAATAACAACAACGCCAATGCGCACTTGGAGAACAATAACGTTAGCAACGCGGCCAGCAACGTGAAGGTAAAGCCAACAAAGTCACATGCGTTCCTTGCTACATTTGAAGTTAATGTTAAAGTTGATTTCTAAGTACTGATTGCTTATGAGCAATCCTAGAAGATTACTAATCCTTGCTATTATTGCTTGCAGTTGGACGCCAAGCCTGCTGCTGGTCCTACCGTTTCAACTGGCGAGCCCAGCGTCGATCTACTCAATGCGGTCGTCGCTCCTGCAGCGGTTCCCTCGTCCATTGGCGTGCGCAAGATACAGCCGAAAAAGGGAGCAGTAAGTAAATTGGGATAGCAAATCGAAATCAGATCACTTACGATCTGGGTCTTGACTTTTAGCTGGGCGCGCGCAAGGTCGGAGGGCTGGGTGCAACGAAGGTAACCACGAACTTTGCGGACATTGAGGCGCGCGCCAATGCTGCCAATGAGAGTAAAACGGCAGCAGCTTCAGCCGGATCCAATGAGAAGCCACAAACCGCAGAGGAGGAGCTGGAAACTGTAGCTAGCATGCGGTTGGCATATCAAGATTTGTCGCTTCAAAAGACACGAGAGGAAGCTAAGCTAAAGAGCATCGATCCCGCCAAGGCCAAGCAAATGGAGCGGCTGGGCATGGGCTTTAACTTGAGGGGCTCTGACGTGGCCCACTCCGCTTTAAGCGACATGGAAACCATTCAGCAGTCAGCTGCCCCCAAAGTCAGCTCCCAAAGCAAGCTGGCTGCCCTGGAGAATGATAATTTCTTTAATGATCATTCGCTTAATTTGTACGGCGGCGGTGGCGATAAGAAGGAGAGCTCCAATAGCGCCAGCAAATTGGACAAATTCGAGTTGGATGCCTTGGGCTACGAGACAATTGAACCTATTGGAACAACGCATAGCAACATCACGTCCATGTTTGCGGCCAGCAGTGATTACGACAAGCCCAATCCACGGAGCACTGCAGCAGCTTCCAGCAAGAGCAAAAGCAAAGGCATTAACCCCAATGACCCTGTCATTGCACAGCAAAAGTTCGGCAACTCCAAGGGCTTTGGCTCCGATCAGTACTTTGCGAATGAACAATCCGCGGCAGACATCAGCGCCAATCTAAATCGTTTCCAGGGATCGCGTGCAATATCTTCCTCCGACTACTTCGGGGATGGTACCCCAGGCGGTAGCAATCGTGGTAAGTGATGTTAGAAATTCAGAAATATGGTCCCTTTTAAATACAAATACTTTGTCATTTACAGGCAGTGGTGGCTATTCGACTGGCGTGAATTTTAATGCACCGGATCTGGACGATGTGAAGGAGAGCGTGCGTCAGGGCGTGCACAAGGTGGCCGGCCGACTGAGCAACTTGGCCAACGATGTCATGTCGTCACTGCAAGACAAATATGGTTACTGATAGAGCGACAGCGCCATTACCATTCGGAGTTAATCAATACGTTTTTATATATAAATCACTCCAACTTAGTAATAGACCTAAAAGTTATAAATAATTCCAAGTCAACAGCTGAGTGGCGTTGATCAGTTCAAAGGTTCTTGTCAGCAGAAGAAGCAAACCTTGATGTTAAACGTAGTGTCTTCAAAATCCATATTACAGATGCATGCATCGCAGATTTAGTGCATTATCCGCCGAATTATAAGCAAAGTTAATTAAACCCATTATATCGAAATTGTGGAACAAGCATTAGCTCATAAGTCGAAATGATAGCTGCTGTTTTTTATGAAATTTTGTTCATTATTTTCTTATTTTTATATGGAGCATTTATCGTTTATTAACCTTTAAATTGGTTCCAAATTAGGTTTGATTTTCGTTTTATACATACATAGAAAAGAAGAGAAAGAAGGTAATATTTGAAATAAATTGGAAATGCATTGCCTGTGGCGAAAATGTCTTTCCGCTAGCTAATCAAAACTGTAGCATTGTTGTATTAACAGAAAGAAGTTTTATTGAAATGCGCTCAGAAGGTTTACAATTTGGCTAATAGTTAAAAAGTTCTTTGATTACAGACTCGGCGCGGACTCAAGTTAAAGATCGTTGCACCAGGCGATGCATTAGCAAGAATTGGTGGTAAGAATTCAAGTGGCGTCGCAGTGGGGCTGAGCGTCAGTCATGGAGCATGTGGGCAGTTATGGCAGCAGCAGATTAGTGACGACGCTTGCTGGGATTGGGGCGGACGCGAGCGCGAACGGCATCAGGTGAGCCGTAGGCGATGGCATGCGAGGTGGCTGAGCCGCCCTCGCCGGTGCTGAAGGAGTTGGCAATGGCAATGGCGCCTCCGCTGGTGCCACCGAAGTTAATTGGGAAGAAGGTGCCGGCGGGCAGAGGAGCGGTGGGCTTCTTCGCTGGCTTGTCGGCAACTGGGACGGGCTTCTTGGCAACGGGGCGACGAGCGTTGGGCACGCGGGCGGGATACTTGGCCACAGGCTTGACGGGCACGGGCACGGGAGCGGCCAGCTCCTCCTCATCTTCGTCGACGTCATCGGCAACAGCGTTCTCGACCTCCTCATCCTCGAAGGCGGCCACCTGGGCTTCCTCAACATCCTCGGCAGACTGGTCCAGCTCGACGATCACCTTCTTCTTGGCGGGCAGATAACGATTGGCGGGCACGACGGGCGCAACGGGCGCAATTGGAGCTGGAGCGGGCAGCACATCATCGTCAGCGTTAACCTGGGCGACAGCTGGCTCGGGCGCGGGCTGCTCAACGGCTGGGGCAGCTTCCTCGGCGGCAAAGTTGAAGTCACGGGGCACCTTGGCGGCATCGTCGCTTTCAGCCACAGCCGGCTGGGCTTCGGCATCGACGCTGTCGCTCTTCTCACTGCTGTCGCTGCTCACGCTGCTGACGTTGTTGTCGTTGTTGTCGTTGCTGTCGCTGCTATCAATGGCGATCTGGACCACAGGTGCCTCATCGGGATAGGCTTCGGCCACGGAGCTGGCGCCATTGGCGCCGGCAGCGCTTAGGACATCATCAGCCTGGGCACTCTCTGCGCTGATTCCATCGGCGCTGACTGCCACATCGGATTCTGCGTGATTGCAATCTTTGTTAGACAAACGGGGAAAGCTCGGGTTAGTCGGGAAAGGGATGTTAGGGCTAGGGATGGCCTGCTTACCCTTCAGATAGGTGCCGGTGGCGACGGTTTCGCCAGCCACAAGGGCACTGGCAGCCTGAGTGGAACGCGCATGCGTGCGGCCTGGCTGCACATACTGCATGTACATAATCCTCTGCTGGGGAGCTGATCCGTACCAT